CTGCAATCAAGAAGCTTCTTGTGGGCAGCACTGATTACTCCTGATGAGTTGAGTCCAAGGTCTCCCTAAGAGTTTGGTCTTGGGGGCCTGTTGCCCTGCACCCCTCAGAAAGGCTCAGAGTCTATTGCAGGGACTACTTTCCTCGACTGAAAACTAGAGATCAGTGTCAGTGCAAATGTGTGTGGGGGGCACTGGCCACCCCAAGAGGGAACCCAGGGGATGGGGTTATCAGGGTGGGCTTCCTAGAGGTGGTGGCTGTGGTCCTGAAGGGCCTGTGGTTGAGAAGAGGGAGTAAAGGGGCTGGAGGTGTCAGAGGTGGAAGTGGGAGGCTCTGGGCAGACTGCAGTGGGCGGAGCTGGTCCTGTAGATTCTCAAGAGTCTCAGGTGAGTCTCAGATGCAGTGAGGCAGGGGCAGGACACTGTCTCCCAACTGCCTCCCCAACACTGCTCTCAGATCTTAACCTCCTACCTGGACTCAGGCAGGAGCCTGGGGGATTCCTTTGCCTCCCACTGCCCCAGGGAACTCAGTGGGGCCCTGGGCACACCCTGTGCTTCTGGAGCCTCCCAACCCCCCTCCCCCTGACAGCCCGGCTCTCCTATGGGCACACCCGCCTGGCAGGGCAGGGTCGGGGCGCACGATGACTGCTCCTGCGTTACCAGCGGAGGGTCAGCGCCCTGTCGTGGCCACTCTGGTGTCCTCCAGACCCCCCTCCGGCCTACGGCCTACAGGACACGCTCAGTAATCATTTAAGCAGATTTGATCAGCCTTCCTGCCTGCTCTCTGCCCTTTTGGGGTTGTCCTGCTGTTGGGGGGTATCTGGTCTGCTGGTCAGAGAGCTGGGCTGCTCCACTGCTTCTTTCCTGGCACTTGGGGTGAGGGTGCGAGCCGGGACCCCACCCTGTGAGGACAGGGCCTGTGTGGCTGCAAGGTCCGTGGGGCTGGATAGTCTCTCTGCACCCCACCTTTGCACAGAGTGGGATGCGCAGGGGTGTTTGTTCTCTCCCAGACATCGACGAATGCCTGAGCGCCTCTTGCCAGGGCCGCTGCGTGAACACGGAGGGCGGCTTTGTGTGTGAGTGTGGGCCTGGCATGCAGCTGTCTGCGGACCGCCACAGCTGCCAAGGTGAGCTGCTCTGTCGGCGGCTGGGGTGCGTCCCCTCGGCCACCCAAGGCGCTGGCCCTGAGCGGGCCCAGCAAGTGCTCTCCAGGCGCTGTGGCCTGTCCCTGCTCCTCATGCCCGCAGTGGGCACCTCTGCCTCCCCGCCCTCCATGAGGAAGCCGAGGCCTGTCAGGAAGGGGAGGCGGCAGCTGGAATCCTGGCCCCTGGCTCCAGGCCCTTCTTCTAGGCCACAATTCTCTAGGATGGCTGCTTCCAGGACTGAGGGTGGAGGGGTGGGGACGGGAGAGAGCCAGAGGCACGCAGAGGGGGGCGTGGGATCATTCATTCACTCATTCATTTGTTCACGGGCCCTGGCTCGGGAGGGGCCTGGGCCTGCAGACCCACCCTGCTCTCCAGCGGCCCCTGCTGGTGGGGGAGGGGGAAGCAGGAGGTGGGGATGTGGGGTAAGCGTGTGGGGAACCCCTGGGCAGGTTCTGCTGTTCATCGTTTCAAACATGGGCCTGGCGGAGGAGGCTGTACAAGCGGGTCGGGACGTGACTAGCCAGGAAAGCAGGAAGGGCCGTTCAGGCCAACACGAGAACCTGGGCACATGGGAGCCCATTTGGAAGGTGCAAGAGTTTAAGCCATAGCAAAGGCAAGGGCAAGCGGGGAAGTGCGAGAGGCTGCTGCTGGCTCTGAGCTGTGGGCATCACGGGTACCTGGGAGCCGTGGGGGGGTCTCGGCAGAGTGGTCCGACTGGAGGTACCCCTTGGCCAGAACACCTGGAGGTGCAGAGGAAGCCTCTGGGGGGCGGCTGGGGTCTGGCCGGGGCTGGGAGAAGTGGGCTGGTCCAGGGAGGGGTGAGGAGTTGGTAGGCCGAGTGTGGACCATGAGAAAGAGGAGGGTTAAGCTGCTTCCCCATGGTCCTGAGGAGGCAGGAGGCGGAGATGAGAAAGAGGCGACATCCCCACACATTTCCAAAACTTGGGGGGAGATGGGCTCCAGCCTGTACTGTCCCCTTCTAGACACTGATGAATGCCTAGGGTTCCCCTGCCAGCAGAGATGCAAGAACAGCTTCGGCAGCTACAGGTGTTCCTGTCGGACTGGCTTCCACCTCCATGGCAACCGGCACTCCTGTGTAGGTAAGGTCGCAGGGCCCCGTTGTCTTCAGTTAGGCTGCCCGTCAGGGGGATGGACAGGGCGAGCCCCGGACAGGGAAAGGTCAGCCGCCTGCACCCCAGCCCGGAGTCTACAAGCGCCCAAGTCTCTGCTTAAGCCCGCCTCTCCCGGGACTGCGGGGCTCCCCAGGGGAGACCCTGTCTTGGACTTTCCCAGGCGACGTGCCTCTTTCATTCTGTTGTTTCTCTTCCCCCCTCTCCCAGATACACCCCAAGGAATCCTCTCTGCTCACCCATTTTCTTGGCTGCCTTTGCTCCCCTTGGTAAATAAAGCACGTTATGTCTTGGTTCCTCTGGCTTGGAAGGAGACCCCTGTTTTCTCAGTCCAGTAGCAGAACTTTCCACAAGGGATTGGCATGTTGGATTTGAGCTTGGCTCCTGGGTTGAAGGTGGGGCCCCTGGCAGTCAGGCTGTTCCTCAAGTCCTGGCAGGGTTGTGACTCGATCCTTTCCTCCCCTCCCACCTGACATGTGGGATGGTGGAAGGCTGGAGGTCTCTGGGGGGGCTAGAAGCCACTTACTGCTGTAAAGTGCTAGGGGGTGAGTCACTGGGGCATCCATTAAATGCCTACTGGATGTAGGAAGCGTCTAAGGGGATTAGCCATAGATTCCAGCCCCACCCCCAGGTAGCTGAGCCGCTAAGGCAGGCATGTAGTCTCTGAAAACGAGACAGAGAGACGTGCCAGCTTTTTGGGCTAAGGGATGGGAGGCAGAAGGGCTTGGGAGCCCAGAGAAGGCCCTGTTGACAGCAAGGCTTTCTTGTAGATGTAAACGAATGTCGGAGGCCGCTAGAGAGGCGCGTCTGTCACCATTCCTGCCATAACACGGTGGGCAGCTTCCTGTGCACCTGCCGGCCCGGCTTCAGGCTCCGAGCGGACCGCGTGTCCTGTGAAGGTGAGCGTTGCCCAGCTGGAGTGCCCCGCCCCCAGCTAGGCCCCGCCCCTCCCGAGCTAGGCCCCGCCCCAGCCAAGCCCCACCCC